AAAAAAAAAAAAATGTAGTTCAGAGACCGAAAGCCAGGACCTGGGAATGTGCATTTTTTAAGTTTCTCAGGCCATAATTATGCTGAGTTTGAGAATCCTTGCCCCACATTGCCTCCTCCCATCTGGTCAGCTTTCTACAGCGGGAGGGGAGCGGTGGGATTTTAGGGGTGAACCAAAGGATTACCTCCCTAACCAAAGCAACGAATGAAAAACGTGTCCCCTGCCAGACTGCTCTTTGTGCCCGAAATTATCCCAAAAGACTCATTTCTTTGGGTTAAAATACAAACAGTCCTAGATCACTCGGGACCTTCTCATGAATGAACTCAGGTGATTCCCAGCCAGGAACAATGGCTTGTACGAAGTCACTCTGCAAGGTCAGCTTTTGCGGGGAAACATCAGTCAAGACCTTGATCTGAAAAGGCAAATCCAGCTGGAGGTTGCAGGTGGTGAGATCCTGGACAGCAGGGAGACGCTGAGCATCAATGGGGTGGGGGTAGTATGGGGTGGGGAGAGGGGGTGAGAGTGGCAGTGGGGGTGAAGGTGAAGGACTCCCAGGAGAGAAAAAAAAATGCAACTGGGGGAGGTAGTGAAGCCACACACACCAGAGTCAGAAAGAACTGGAGGCCAGGTGTAGTGGCTCATGCCTGTAATCCCAGTACTTTGGGAGGCCAAGGCAGGTGGATCGCCTGAGGTCAGTTCGAGACCAGCCTCACCAACATGATGAAACGCCATCTCTACTAAAAATACAAAAATTAGCCAGGCATGGTGGTGCATACCTGTAGTCCCAGCTACTCGGGAGACTGAGGCCGGAGAATCGCTTGAGCCTGGGAGGCAGAGGTTGCAGTGAGCCGAGATCGTGCCACTGCACTCCAGCCTGGTGACAGATGCCTCCAAAAAAAGAAAAAAAAAAGGAACTGGAGTAAAGAATCAGCCTTGCTACTTATCGGTGTGACCTTGCAAATGATACTTTACCTCCTGTGCCTAAGTTTTCTCATGTGTAAAACACAGCTAATAACAGAACCTACCTATGGGGGCATTGTAAGAATCAAACACATTCATGTGTGGAACAGTTAACATTTACTGACCCTTGTGCCAGTAGCCATGCTAAGTGCTTTGCATATATTATTAACTCATTTAATCTTCATAGACAACCAATGGTGTGGTTATTATTTTACCCATTTTATAAAGGAAGAAAGTGAGGCACAGAGAGGTGAAGTAACTTGCCCCAAGGTGGCACAGCTTCTAAGTGTCAGAGTCAACATTTGAATCTAGTCGGTCATATTTCAGGGGCAGTGGCCCTGATGGCTACGCTCAGCGGCAGATGCTTCATCTCACAGAGATGGCTGCAGTGGTGGGGGCCAGAGTGCAACCTGCTGAAGGATGGACCTCTGGGCAGGGGTCCCTGTTGTTCAGGTTCAAATCAGACTGAACAGTAGCCTTAATCATTAAGATCACTACAGAGGTAAGGGGTGAGAGCGCACTCTGCCTGTTCTCCCTCCACCCCCAAGACACTCACCCTATTCCACACCCAGAGGAGGACATGGGGTGCTCCCTTCCAGAGCTTAGAGACCGTGGGACGGCTCCAGCCCCTTCTCCCAACATTCACCCAGCGAAGAGCACCAGTACCCTTGCTCTGCTGTTCACCGGGCAGTTGTCCCGGGATCAGTGTTTTTGGTTGTTCCTCGTTTTGTCTTGCTTCCCTTTGAGAGTATCTCCTGAAACAAACGGCAGTGTTGCAAGGAGAAAAGGGAGCGCAGCCTCTTTGGAGCAGTTACGATGGGCAAACAATGAAATCCACGTGCGGTGTCTCATGGGGCCTTCACACCTTTGTGAAGTAAATATTATTGTCCTCATTCTGCGGATGAGGACGCCAGGCCCAGAGAGGCTAAATGACTTGCTCCAAGTCACAGAGCAAGTCGGCAGCACCTGGCTGCATCAAATGCTTGTCTACTGGAATCCAAAGCTGTTTATGGGATTTGGGGCTCTGCTGGGGCTTTTACACCCAACCCCCAAAGGTGAAGTTCTCTGTTCCTCATTCATTCCTTCATATGCTGAGTGTTTTGCAGCAGCGGCTCGATGCCAGGCATTGGAGTAGAGACCATAGCAACCTGGCCTCCGTTTCATTCTGTTCAGCAGGACTGGTGATCTTTCTAAACAGGATATTTGTAGAGGTTTTCATCGCCCCAGTTTCTGGAAGGCCTGATCATCAGCCCAGGGGCTGCTCCTCAGGGATGGGAGTCAGGGGTTCAGCTTCTTCGTGGGAGAATCCAGCTCTGGGTGTTTCAGGAAATTTCTGACCTGCCAGGTTTCCTGATCAGTCAGAGCTGGGGAGTGGGGGCCGAGAGAAGAGGTTTCCCGTCAGCCCAGCTTTTGTCTCTCACATGAGCGCGAGACAGACAAACCACAACCACAGACTCGACCAGCTGTGGAAGCGTCGAACAGGAAACCCGGAACATCTGGTGCTCCACTTCCTCTGAGGGCTGTGCACGTCTGGGGCGCCGGGTGTGTGTGTGCATGTCCGCCTGTGTGCACGACTGTTTTCTCTCCTGCCGTTGGTTAGTGGGACCTGGATGCAGACAGAGCTGGAAACCACAGGTCTTGTGGTGACAAGGAAGCCAGACACTGGCTCCCCAACCCTTACAGCACAGCGTCCCTCCTCAGACAGTAACCGGGGATCCGACCCAGTCTCGCAGGCCCTTGGCTAGCTTCAGGTCACCATGCATTTGAAGAAAGGGATTTCGTTTCCTTTCATAATTGTGATGGTTTAGAGACATTGTCTGGAGGTGAGGTGGGAGGGCTCTGCTTACATATAACTTGGCCTCAGCATACAGACCCACAAAAAGCAGCCTCTGGACAAAAGCTGCTTTTGTTTTTTGCTTTTTGTTTTTGAGACAGAGTCTTGCTCTGTCACCCAGGCTGGAGTGCAATGGCAAGATCTTGTCTCACTGCAACCTCTGCCTCCCAGGTTCAAGTGATTCTCCTGCCTCAGCCTCCCAAGTAGCTGGGACTACAAGCATGGGCCACCACGCCCGGCTAATTTTTTTGTATTTTTACTAGAGACAGGGTTTTGCCATGTTGGTCAGGCTGGTCTCAAACTCCTGATCTCAGGTGATCCACCCGCTTCGGCCTCCCAAGGTGCTGGAATTACAGGCGTGAGCCACTGTGCCCAGTAGCCATGCTAAGTGCTTTGCATACATTATTAACTCATTTAATCTTCACAGACAAACAGCTTTAAAAAAAGCTGTTTTTAAAACAATTTGAGGAGCATCTGTGGATGAACGCTAAGGCCATGTGCTGGTCAGGAGGCAGTTTATTAGTGGTGGTGTTCTCTGCGTAAGGAGAAAACAGAGTTTTTAATTTTTCATTTTTCTGAAGGGAAGAATCATAAGGAAGTGGAAACAAAAGGCTCCCCAAACCATAGCATGAGGTTTAACTCTCATGATACGTTAAGGAAGTAGGCATTATTATGCCCATTTTTATGAATCATGAAATAGATGTGCAGCAGGGTTCAGAAGTCACTCCAGCTAATACAGCGCCTAACGAGCAGGGCCAAGGTTCAATTCAAACCGAATCCCAGCCTCATGCTAGATCTTAGTTCACACTTCATTCTTTCAATGAGCATTTATAAACTAAACTGTACCTAGCAAACAGTTGGGACTTCAATGTTTCTTGAATTAATCACCTAAATGTGCCATGATGTCAGAGACAGATGTCATCCTCACTGTAGCCCCCAGGCTCAGCACGGTATCCAGGAAAGAATAGGTGCTTGTAGTCCCAGCTAATTGGGAGGCTGAGGCAGGAGAATTGCTTGAACCCGGGAGGCAGAGGTTGCAGTGAGCCGAGATGGCGCCATTGCACTCCAGCCTGGGCGACAGAGCAAGACTCCATCTCATGAAAAAAAAAAAAAAAAATGGGTGCTTAATCAATGTCAGCAAATGAATACGTAAAGGAATTCCAAGTTTTAGAACAGCGATACTTTATTTTTGCTTGTTGTTTTTGTTTCTTTTGAGCCGGAGTCTCACTGTCAATCAGGTAGGAGTCTAGTGGTGCAAATTCGGCTCACTGCAACCTCCACCTCTAGGGTTCAAGCGATTCTCCTGCCTCAGCCTCCGCAGCAGCTGGGATTACAGGCGCGCACCACCACGCCCGGCTAATTTTTGTATTTTTAGTAGAGACGGGGTTTCATCATGTTGGCCAGGCTGGCCTCAAGTGATCCGCCCAACTCGGCCTCCCAAAGTGCTGGGTAACAGGTGTGAGCCACCACGCCCGGCCGATACTTCGTTTTTCTGGAGGTCATTTACTTAGCAAGGCTAGCTGTTTGGATCCTGGCTAAAAATGTGAAAGAAGACAGAAAGAGTCACAAGCAGTCAACAAAAGTCACGGGTAAAAGTTCAAGTACTTGATTCAAAGCCGAAATTCTCAGGTCCTCAGTCGTAGCCTGGTTACCCTTACAAACACCAGGGCTAAAGAGCACGGTTAATGATCTTTCCAGGACACAAGATTTGAAAGCATCTGTTTCGAAGGGAGATAGCCTGCTAGAGGAAGCTTGCGGGCAACAGCAAATTGGGAGTTGGACTAACACTTTCAGACTGGGATGCCACGAAGAACTCGCCAGCAGAGATAAGAGATGGGCAAGATGAAGAGAATGAACTGTGATTCTCAGATATCTGCCCGCAAGGTGGCTCCGAGAAAGCCAGCCGGAAACTGCAGCATCGCGGAGGATTTCTCCGGTTCAGGTTAAAGAGACAGCAGCCAGACGGTGCCGACCTCAAACCCAACTCCCGACAGCAACCTTGAGGCCACCCGAGGTGGCGCATGCGCAGTGTGCGAGGTCGTGCTCCTTTTCATACCTGCGGACCTGCGGAGTCTTCTTCCTGAGCAGGGCTTACGTCACGCAAGCGCCGCGGCTGTGGACGTCATCTGAGAGCGCCACGCGCGGTCCCGAAACCCTGAGCACCGTCTGGCTAAGGCGTTGCTGTAGAGACCGTGCGCCGAGTCCCGCCCCCGAGGCGGGATTGGAGGAGAACTGGTCAGCTGACAAGGGTGGCGTTTCGAAAGCGCGCGGTAGGCCGTGCTGGGACTCAGAGCCCGAAAACTGATTTGAGGGGCGTCTTGACCGAAGGTACTAAATATCACATGGCTCCGTTAAAGTAAAAATGCAAACTGCCCTAATGGGGTTTCATATAAGGCCGGAGGGCTGGGAAGACTTAAATGTATCACTTCAGTAGCTTAGGGGTGGGAAGAAGAGTTTGGACCAGACTAGCGCCGGGATAACCTGACCTTTTTGAGCCTTAATTTCTTCTCGAAGGGATCTTTCCCATCAGCATATAAACATGTGATTTCCCCGTTCCTGAGAACCCTGTCGTGGCTCCAGCTCCCATCCCATCCCCTCGCTTTCTGAATATCGTAACTCCTTGGAAGAGTCCAGCTCTCTCCTCCCACTTTGTTGAACTCCCTCCAGGCAAACTCGGTCTCTCCCCAGTCCTCCTCTTACCTGCTCTATCAGCAATTTTTGATACAGTTTATCACCCTCTCCTCCGCAAAACTTTCTTCCCTTGGCTTTTGGCAGTGCACACACTTGTTTTTTTCCTCCATCCCAGCCCCACCTTCTCTGTTTCTTTTACTAGCCTCTCCTCTTTTTCCTGACCTCTAAATGTAGCAGTGCCCCCAGCACTGGCTCCTTGGACTTCTCTTTCTTTTCACTTAATCCCTTGATGATTTCATCGGGTTTCATGGCTTTAAAGACTATGTGCTGATGACTCCCATCCGTATAGCTCCAGCCTAGAAAAATCCTTCTGGCTTCTCGGGCTGTAAACTTTGAGTTCTTCATCCCGTGTCAAATCTGTCAGCAGATCCTATTGGCTTTTCTTCTTTCCCCAGAATCCGGTCTCCACTGACACCATCTTAGACCAAGCCCCCATCTCTCACCTGGATTATTGTAATTGCCTAACTGGTCCCTCTTCTATCCCTACCCCGTCAGTCTATATTTACATAACAACCTCAGTAATTCTGTTAAAAGTCGTATCATGTGGCTCCTCTGTGCAAAAACTACCAGAGTAAAAGCCAAAGCTTTACCATGGCTAGAAATGTTCCACACGACCAGGCCTCTATTCTAGACCTTTCTTTTCTTGTCTCCCTTGCTCACTTAATACTAGCCACATTGGCCATTTTGCCAGGCTTGCTTCTGCCTCTGGGATCCTGAACTTGCCTTTACCTCTGCCGGGAACTCGTCCTCACTTATCCCCAGGGCGCTCTCCCTTACCTCCTTCCAAGACTTGGCTCAAATGTTCCTCAATGAGAAAGGCCTTCACCAACCTCCCGGTTTTACATTGCAAATCAGACTCCCCCAAGCCCGCATTCCCATTCTCTTCCCTTTTGCTCCATTGCATTTAATTTAATAAACCTTCTAATAAACCGTTTAATTTAGTTCTTTATCTTATTTGATGTCCCTCTCCGCATGAAGACAGGAATTTGTTTCATCATTGCTCCATCCCCAATTCTGAGACAGAGTGTGTGGCACATGACAGATGCTCAGTACAGGTCGGTGGGGAGAATGGGTGCATTGCAGAATCCAAGGGTTAAGGCATGGTTAGGAGCTGGAGCTTTAGAGGCTTGCGTTCCAGGCTCCCTTTACCACTTAGCTGCTTTGTGGGTTTTTTTGTTTGTTTGTTTGTTTGTTTGAGATAGAGTCTCACTCTGTGGCCCAGGCTACAGTGCAGTGGCCCCATCTCAGCTCACTGCAACCTCTGCCTCCCAGGTTCAAGTGATTCTCCTGCCTCAGCCTCCCAAGAGTAGCCTGGGACTATAGGCGCCTGCCCCCACACCTGGCTAATTTTTGTATTTTTAATAGAAACGGGGTTTTGCTATGTTAACCAGGCTGGTTTGAACTCCTGACCTCAGGTGGTTCACCCACTTTGGTCTCTCAGAGTGCTGGGATTCTTTGGGAAACTGAGGCAAGTGGATCACCTGAGGTCAGGAGTTTGAGACCACCCTGGCCAATGTGGTGAAACCCCAGCTCTACTAAAAATACTAAAATTAGCCGAGCATGGTGGTGGGTGCCTATAGTCCCAGCTACTCAGGAGGCTGAGGCAGGAGAATCGCTTGAACCTGGGAGGCAGAGGTGGCAGTGAGCTGAGATCATACCACTGCACTGCAGCCTGGGCAACAGAGCGAGACTCCATCTCAAAAAAAAAAAAAAAAAGTGCTGGGATTGCAGATGTGAGCCACTGCACCTGGCCATACCTTGTGGTCTTTAAGAAATTTATTTAACCTTCCTGAGCCTCAGTTTCCTCATTTCTATTGTGGACAAAATAATACCTAAGGCTTTCATTTGACAATACTGAACACCCCTAGGTGACCAGCTCCTGGAGACGCAATGGAGAACCTGAATGTCCCCTCGCTCCCCTGGAGTCTGTATGCTGAGGAAGGGGCTACAGACAATAGCCATGCACTCACCCAAATAAGACATTCTTCATGAATTGTGGTAAGTGTGATGAAGGAAAAGCAGTTGGTGCTGAAGAGGCAGGCTGGGAAAGAACTTCCCTGAGAGGGCAACTTCACTGTCCAAGTCCACTTAGGCTGCCAGAACAAAATGCCACAGATGGGGGCATTTAAACAGCAGACATTTGTCTTCTCATGGTTCTGGAGGGCAGAAATCCAAGCTGAAGGTGTCAGCAGGTTTGGTTTTTCCTGAAGCCTCTCTTCTTGACTTGCAGATGGCCACCTTCTCTCTGTGTCCTCACATACATGATCTTCTCTATGTGTGCCTACACACTCCTGCTGCTGGGGTCTCCAGTGTCCTAATTTCTTTCTTTTTTTTTTTTTTTTTTTTGGAGACAGAGTCTCACTCTGTTGCCCAGGCTGGAGTACAGTGGCGTGATCTCAGCTAACTGCAAGCTCCGCCTCCCAGGTTCAAGCAATTCTTCTGCCTCAGCCTCCCGAGTAGCTAGGACTACAGGCATGCCACTATGCCTGGCTAATTTTTGTATTCTTAGTAGAGATGGGGTTTCACCATGTTGATCAGGCTGGTCTCAAATTCCTTACCCCATGATCCCCCTACCTTGGCCTCCCAAAGTGCTGGGATTACAGGCGTGAGCCACCGCCCCTGGCCATTTTTTTTTTTTTTTTTTTTTTTTTTTTTGAGACGGAGTCTCACTCTGTTGCCTAGGCTGGAGTGCAGTGGTGGGATCTTGGCTCACTGCAACCTCCATCTCCCAGGTTCAAGTGATTCTCCTGCCTCCCTCCCAAGTAGCTGGGATTACAGGTGCATGCCACCACACCCGACTCATTTTTGCATTTTTAGTAGAGATGGGGTTTCACCATGTTGGTCAGGCTGGTCTTGAACTCCTGACCTCAGGTGATCCACCCACCTCAGCCTCCCAAAGTGCTGGGATTACAGGCGTGAGCACCGTGTCCAGCCCAGTGTCCTAAGCGCTTGTAAGGACATCAGTCAGACTGGATTAGGGCCCACTCCAGTGGCCTCATTTGAACATAATTATTTTGTTAAAGGCCAAATACAGTCACTTTCTGAAGTCCTGGGGGTTAGGCTTCAACGTATGAGTGGTGGGGCACTCAGTTCAGCCCATGACATTATTTAAAATGCAAAGGATGCATAGAAAGGAGCCGTGGAGCAAGAGGAAACTTTCAGGGAAAGAAACGAACGTGCAGAAACCCTGTGGCTGTGGAAGGCCCATGTGGCTTGAGCTCAGAGTGAGGGGTCTTGGTGGGAGTTACACTGGGAGTTGAGGGTGAGGAGCCACCTAGAACCGTTGTTGGGAGTGATTGGTAGTGATGTGGTAAGAATTCTGTAATGCAGCGTTCCCCAATCTTTTTGGCACCGGGGACTGGTTTCATAGAAAACAATTCTTCCACGGACCGGGACCGGGGAGGTTGGTTTTGGAATGAAGCTGGTCCACCTCAGATCATCAGGCATTAGATTCTCATAAGGAGTGTGCAGCTTAGATCCTGGTATGCACAGTTCACAATAGGGTTCGTGCCCCTATGAGAATCTGAGGCTGTTGCTGATCTGACAGGAGGTGGAGCTCAGGTGATCACGCTCGCCTCCTGCTGTGAGGCCCAGTTCCTAACAGGCTATGGACTGCTTCTGGTCTGTGTGCCGGGGGTTTGGGACTGCTGCTCTAATGGGAAGGTTACTCTGGCCACAGATGGGTTGGAGGGAGGCTCCCCTTAGCTCCAGAGCTACTGTAATGGTGACACACTGCATGGCATCTCATAGTAAGGGCTCCGTAGAGGGTTACTGGTTAATATTCTTCATAATGGCCACCTGACACGGTTGATGGGAGGACTGAATGAAAAAGAGGCCAAAAAGGGCTTAATAAGTGATAAGGAGAAACCAGCATAAGCATCCAAAAGTACCAAAGAGTCTGTATTTGGTGGCGCTGGATATGGTGTAGTTTAATCAGATGTGATCGCTACTTGTCCTGGAAGGTTTTAGATGCAACTCATGCAAAAGAGGAAAGAAGCGACTGGAGCAGGGAGTCACTGACTATGTGTCGTCCTCCGGAAGCCCAAGTACAGTGGAAACGGTCTGAGAGAAGGAGCACTCATCTTTTATTTCTTTTCTTCAGATTCAACTGAAAGCTCCCCTTAAGTTTACTGTCAGGGTGCTGATACACAGAGCTACTCCTAGAAGATTGAGGGTACAGGTAAGGGATGGGAGTTCTCCTGCAGGCGCTCAGTAAGAGTACTGTTGGGCAGCGGGAAGGTTTCTCATTTCATTCCTGGAATTCAGGGTCCAGAAGTGGAACCTGATGTGAGCTCCTATCTCCTTTCAACTTGAGTGGTGATTCTACCTTTTCTTCTTTTCTTTTGAGACAGAGTCTTGCTCGGTCACCCAGGCTGGAGTGCAGTGGTGCAATTGCAGCTCACTGCAGCCTCCACCTCCTGGGCTCAAGTGATCCTCCCGCCTCAGACTCCCTAGTATTGGGACTACTGACATGCCACACCACCCCCAGCTAATTTTTTTATTCCTTGTAGAGATGTGGTCTCACTATGTTGCCCTGGCTGGTCTCGGCCTCCTGGGCTCAAGCAATCCTTCCACCTTGGCCCCCCAAAGTGCTGGGATTACAGGCATGAGCCACTGTGCCTGGCTTTCTTTTGTTTTTTAAGAGCTGGGGTCTGTCGCTCAGGCTGGGTGCAGTGGCTATTCACAGGAGCAGTCATAGTTCACTGCAGCCTGGAACTCCTGGTCTCAAGTAATGCTCCCACCTTAGCCTGTAGCTGGGACTACAGGCATGCATCACCACACACAGCTTATGTGACTGTACGTTTTGATGATTTAATGCAACAAAGACTGCTCTTTGTCTTGGAAGGAACCAAGACAAGCATTTTATCCCAATGGCTAAAAAACTCTGACTGTCCTCCTCCACACCCTTGACAGAGGGCCATCTGCCAGTGATTGGGAATGCACTAGACAGCCCATCCTCATTTTGGACAGAATTAATTGTTAGAATCTGCTTTGTAACACTAGGCCAAATATATCTCTTGTAAGTCCCGGTCTGGCCTTCAGGAGCTGCACAGACTCAGCTCCTCTTTACGGCATTAAATATTTGGCGATAGCCCTGGGCTCTAGGCCACCCTCATAAGGCCTCCAAGTCTTCTGTTCACAAACTGAACACCTTACCCCAACAAAAAAGGTGGTTTTTTTGTTTTCTTAACGATGCTTTTATGAAAATTCTTCTACATAAATCTCTTCATACTTGCCTTTGGATACATTTCTATAAATGAAACTTCTGAGACAAATGGCGCATTTTATAGTTTGTGCTCTCTATTTCCAGATTAGCCTCCAGAATGGATGATTTTTGCTTGTACGCCCACCAGCAATTTACAAGAGAACCTGTTTCCCCACACCTTACCCGCCAACATGGGGAGTTTTCATTCTTTTAATCATTACCAATCTGATAAGGGGAAATGATTATTTCATGGTTGCCTTAATTTTCGTTTCTTTGATTATGAGATTGGACATGTTTTCCAACCACATCCTATACTTTTGCAGTCGAGTTTTGTAGCTCAGTGCAGGACCTTACATGTATTCCAGTTAAATTTTATCTTGTTGGATTCAACCAATCATTCCTTCCTGTTGAGATAATTTTGGACCTGACTCTGCAGTCCCAGCGTGTTGGCCTTCCTTCCCAGTCTGGTGTTATTTGCACAGTTGATAAGCAGTTATCTTTGGACTTATCCAAGCTGTTGACAGAATGTTAATGAGTGTAGGGCCAAGGACAGAACTGCTTGGCATTCCACTAGAGAAAGCCTTGGGATGATACCGTCCCATCTGCTGTGACAGTTCAACCTCACCATGCCTGGGAGTCATGGCTGTGTTAGGAGCCTTCACCTGAGACACAGGGCCTGCGCACAGATTCCAGCCCTGGCCCTGATTAGTTGCGTGGCCTTGAGAAAGTGCTGTCGTCTCTTACTGAGATGTACTTTTGAGCTCTAGCAGCCTTTTTCTCAGTATTCTGTCCATAAGAATTTCATGAGAAACGGTCAAATTGTTGTCAGAAGTCATGGCACTGTCACAAAGTATTCACCCCATTTTCTAATTTAGTGGAAGCAACATAATGACAACCCTTTGTCATGGATATTGACCTCTGGGATCACCCTTCCTATGTGCTGGTCAACCATTTGTTTGATTTTCTGCCCCAGAATTTTGCCCATGATCAACATGAGGCTCAACAGGCCTTCAGTTTATCCAATTCACACTTTTTTTTTTTTAAATACAGGGTTTTGGCCTCCTCAATTCTCCATGATTCCTCACAGCACCCTAAGACGTCAGAAGTGCTCAGCACTCCCTACCAGGGCTTGTTGGTTCTGTCGCCCTGGTTCAGTTTTCTTTCATATCAGGAAGGAGCAAGGTGGGAGGGCCACCTCTCCTCCAGGCATGGACAGAGGGCCAGAGTTCATTCACAGCTGTGGCAGCATTGAAAGGAAATGAGGAAAATGCTTAGTTTGGCGGAAAAGGGGCTTTGTGAGACTGACACATGGCATCTGCCCAAGTCATGAGCTGAAGAAACAGCTTCCATGGCCCTGCCAGAGGGACCTCTGGTTATGCATCATTCTCTCCAGCCCTGAGCTTCATCAAGAAAATAAGCATCAGCAGTATCATCTCCAAGTGAAATGATGGCACATTATGTCACCTTTCTTTCCTTCAACATCAAAATCAAACAAGACTATTCTAAGGAGGGAGCAGTAAACATTAACCCCATGTAACAGATAAAAGACTAAAAGAGAAATTAGATAACTGGTTTAAGTGACACAGGGAATCCGTCATAACTCTGGTGACATGGCTTCTTATCATGCCTGGAATGTAGTTACTGATTTACACCTTGTAAATTTCTCAGTACACGATGTACAAGTGGCCACTCTGTACTGTCTGTTTATTCAGACTAATAGTAATCACGATAATATGCCAGGCACAGTGGCTCACACCTATAATCCCAGCACTTTGGGAGGCGGAGGCAGGAGGATTGCTTGAGTCCAGGAGTTTGAGACCAACCTGGGCAACATGGCACGATCCTGTCTCTATATAAAATTTAAAAATTAGCTGAGCATGGTGGCGCACTCCTGTGGTCCCAACTACATGGGAGGCTGAGGCAGCAGGATCGCTTGAGCCTGGGAGGTCAAGGCTACAGTGAGCTAGGTTCACACCACTGCACTCTAGCCTGGGCGACAGAGCGAGATCCTGGCTCAAAAAAGATAGATAGGGCCAGGCGCAGTGGCTCAAGCCCGTAATCCCTGCACTTTGGGAGGCCGAGACGGGCAGATCACGAGGTCAAGAGATCGAGACCATCCTGGCTAACATGGTGAAACCCCGTCTCTACTAAAAAATACAAAAAACTAGCCGGGCGCGGTGGCGGGCGCCTGTAGTCCCAGCTACTCAGGAGGCTGAGGCAGGAGAATGGTGTAAACCTGGGAGGCAGAGCTTGCAGTGAGCCGAGATCACGCCACTGCACGCCAGCCTGGGCGACACAGCGAGACTCCGTCTCAAAAAAAAAAAAAAAATAGATAGATAGATAGATAGATAATATATATTATATAATATATATATAAAATAGTAATAATGATAAAGGCTGCTGTGGTTTGTTTGTTTATTTTTGCTTGTTTGTTTTTTTGAGACAGAGTCTAGCTCTGTCACCCAGTCTGGAGTGCAGTGGTGCGATTTGGCTCACTGCAACCTCGCCTCTCAGGTTCAAGCAATTCTTCTGCCTCAGCCTCCCGAGTAGCTGGGTGCCACCATGCCTGGCTAATTTTTGTATTTTTAGCAGAGATGGCATTTTGCCATGTTGACCAGGCTGGTCTCAAACTCCTGATCTCAAGTGATCTGCCTGCCTCAACCTCTCAAAGTGCTGGGATTATAGGCGTAAGCCACTGCACCCGGCCAAGGTTGCTATGGTTTGAATGTTGGTATCCACTCCACAACTCATGCTGAAGCCGATCCCCATAGCAGTGGTACTGAGAGGTGGGGCCTTTATAAAAGAGCCTGAGGGAGTGAGTTCAGACCTCTCGCCCTCCCACTTTCTGCCACCTGAGGATGCAGCAAGAAGGCCCTCGCCAGACACCAAATGCTGGCACCTTCATCTTGGCCTCTCCCAGAGCTCTGAGAAATGAACTTCTATTGTCGATAAATAACCCAGTCTGTGGTATTTTGTTAGAGCAGCACAGATGGGCTAATACAAAGGCTGGTGATCCTTATCGAGCCCTTACCACGTTCTCAGTGCTTTGCAGAAATGAACTGTTTCCTCTCACACGCCCTTGAGGTAGGTACTGGCTTCACTCCTTTTTTTATAGATGAGGAAATGGAGGCACAGGAGAGAGGCTAAGTAACCTGCCTCAGTTCACCCTCCTCCCATCCAAGGCCCGACCCTGCTTAGCTTCCAAGATGAGGCAAGATCTGGCCCATTCAGGGTTCAATGGCTGCAGACAGGCCACCCCTCTTCTAAAGGGTAGAGCTGGGGTTTGAACTCAGGCTGTCTGACTCCGTGGTTCAGGCTCCGAATGGTAATGTTCTGCTGCTTCTATAAATAAATGAGGATAAGAAAGGAGTAATTGGAAATGATTTCTCCCCCAGACTGTGAAACTGCATTGCAAACAGTGGTCTCAGCTACTAAGGAGTAACAAACAGCTCTTTCATCTGGAAGAACTGTGTGCAAAGGAAGGAGTGAGGAGAGAAGGGACACCCGGAACCTGAAGAACCTGTGACTTGGATGCACAGCCTCTAAGTAATCCCAAGTGAACCGTGTGAACCTGCAGTCAGTGTCTATGGCCACGAGGCAGAACACACAAACACCAGGCCTCAAGATTCTCACCAAGATCGTGTCATGAGACAGGACCTCGCCGCCCAGCCCCCGCCTCCCAATAACAGGATTACGAGGCTCAGTGCGGTTACTGCTGGCACAGCGAGCCACAGATGTAGCCAGGACTGGGTGCCAATCGACGGATTCCCAATATTGTCTTCCAGTTGCTAGACTACGCTGCTTTCCAGTACATTATTTGGAATATAAAAACTAAAATGTAAGTAAAGCATTTTCATACAAATAATTTCAACCGCAACAAGGCAATTGGCTTCTGATTAAGTTGGCAAGAAGAGGTAATGCTCTCATTCCGATTGACATATTTGGAGATTCTCTTGCCAAATCCAATTGGCAGCTTCATAATTATGGAAACGTCCATGTTATTTCCACTCAACCAGGGTTAGGGCTGCTGGTATCTGATTCAATGTTTACTTCATGAATGAGGTCAGTTCCCAGCACAGCTGGGGTTTCAGCAAAGGAGTCAGCAGACAGCATTCCCACTAGAATCTGACCGGCGTTTGTCACAACTTCCAGGGCAACCTTCCCCCAGCTCCCCCAGGTCAGCTGCTCTCCCTAGCATTGTCTGGGGCCCGGCTCCTCTCCCTGTAGAAGCAGACCCAGCCTTGACATGATGAGGTCACATCCAAGCTTCCCCTGGCACAGCGGTTCATTCTGCAACCTGCCCCCTTGGTATTGCAACACCTCGCTCCTGGACAACCCCCGCACACCACGAGCTTCATGCTGCCAGGAAACGGTAGGGTTTTAAGAAATATTTATCCCAGGATGGTTCCACGTGTGTGGTGTGAGAGTGACTCAGAGTGCCATGGAAGCCACCTCCAAAGGTAATGATGTCCCACAGGTCAGAGTGTCCTTTCAGCCAGCTCCCCACACTGATGAAAACAAAAACAAGTCACAAGTGCTCAGAACACTCTGGAAGAACACACATTCATGGAGTGGCCATCGGTGAGTTCACAGAGTTCCTGGGGAGACTCGGGGCAGAAGGGAAGGGCAGCACCGCACAACAATGCCAGGGGTCTAGCTCCCGCTGGCTCAAAGTGGCAAAGGGCTGGAGTGTCACTGACCTGTTTGTCCAAGTCCTGAGCTATTGCCATAGGATAGCGGCAGCACGAAAGTCCATGGTCCAAGTCTGAAGCAGCTGTCTCTGCCCTGGCAGCAGTTTCTCTCCCTGAGCGAGGTAAGCCAGGAGGAGGCTCCCTCCCTGAGCGAGGTAAGCCAGGAGGAGGCTCCCTCCCTGAGCGAGGTAAGCCAGGAGGAGGCTCCCTCCCTGAGCGAGGTAAGCCAGGAGGAGGCTCCCTCCCTGAGCGAGGTAAGCCAGGAGGAGCCTCCCTGAGCGAGGTAAGCAGGAGGAGGCTCCCTCCCTGAGCGAGGTAAGCCAGGAGGAGGCTCCCTCCCTGAGCGAGGTAAGCCAGGAGGAGGCTCCCTCCCTGAGCGAGGTAAGCTAGGAGGAGGCTCCCTCCCTGAGCGAGGTAAGCTAGGAGGAGGCTCCCTCCCTGAGCGAGGTAAGCTAGGAGGAGGCTCCCTACCTGAGCGAGGTAAGCTAGGAGGAGGCTCCCTCCCTGAGCGAGGTAAGCTAGGAGGAGGCTCCCTACCTGAGCGAGGTAAGCTAGGAGGAGGCCAAGCAATAGTGATTTGGTTTGGATCTCAAAATAATCGTGCCCATCGTAAGATGTGATTATTTTTGCCTAAGAAAATCTGAAAAGTGCCATGGAGAAAAAGAATCTAGAGTGGGAGATGGTTTAGGCATTGGAGGCAAAGGCAGATTCAAGAAGAAACTTCCTCTGCCCCAATGTTGACAACCAGACTGACGGCCACACCCCATGCTTTCCCAACAGGAGAACAATGTGACCGAAGGCAATTGATGTGAACACAAGAATCAACAACATAGAGGAGACACAGTCCCAGGTGTAAAGAGGGGAGCTGTCTCTCCCTGTGGCCTCAACAGAAGGAGAGGGTTGTCAGCCTAGGATGCAGACTCACTGTCTCATCCTAAGGGTCGGTCCAACTGCCATAGGAGATTTCGGAACAACTGTCCTCACTTGAGGGTCGACATGCTGTACAGTCCATGGGGCCCGCTGGACAGTCGCAGTCCCAGATCACTTCTCCTACTGGCTTTCCTCAGGAGCTCACACTACCCGTCTCAGCCCCAAGATGTTCCTTGTGTCTGCTCCTGTTCCTGACTCAAACACGGGTTGTTTGCCATCAGTTCTGTACCCTGTTTTATCAACATTGTTATTGTCATATCTTATAATGTTTGTTTGTTTGTTTGTTTGTTTTTGAGACAGAGTCTGTCATCCAGGCTGGAGTGCAGTGGTGGGATCACAGCTCACTGCAGCCTCCAGCTCCCAGGCTCAGGTGATCCTCACACCTCAGCCTCCCAAGTTAGCTGTAACTACAGGTGCACACCACCACCCTCAGCTGATTTTTTTTGTATTTTTTATAGAGATGGAGTTTTGCCATGTTGCCCAGGCTGGTCTCGAACTCCTGAGCTCAAGCAGTCTGACCTTCCTGGTCTCCCAAAGTGCTGGGCTCACAGGCATAAGACACCACACCCAACCTCATTTTATAATCTTTTAAAATTATTTTTTCCCTTGAATATTCTTTGGAAAGTTTTTGAAGATATGGCTCTGACTTAGCGTGTTTTGTGCTGCTCTAACAGAATGCCTGGGACTGGGTAATTCATAATGAACAAAAATTTATTTCTCACAGTTCTGAAGGCTGAGAAATCCAAGATCAAGGCGCCAGCATCTGGCGAGGGCCTATTTACTGCATCATCCCATGGCAGAAGGCGGATGGGCAGGAGTGGGTGGGACAGAAAGACAGACCAAAGGGGGCTGAACTCATTCCTTTATAAGGAACCCACTCCTGAAATAATGGCATTAATCCATCGTCCATTAAACACCTCTGAAAGGTCCTGCCTCCCAACATCTCTGTATTGGGGATCAAGTTTCCAGCATATGGATGTTGAGGGACACATTCAAACCATAGCAGGCACTAAACCAAGGTCTTTCCTTCCCCCTCTCTGGCGTCTCTACCCACTGGGCACAGCTGCACTGGCCGCCCTGCTGATGCCCATCGACACCAGACACACACCCACCTCAGGATCTTGGCACATGCCCTTCCCTCCAGCTGAAACACTTGCCAGGCCATCCCCACAGCTCCCTCCCTTCTTTTCCATCTTGACTCACATGCCCCCTCCCCTGGATCTTGCATGCATGTTCTTCCACACGTGATTCCCCCGGCTTCTAGCCCCATCTGAAATAGCACATGTTACTTGTTCCTTATCTGCCTCCCCCTCTAGAGTGCCAACTCTGCCTGGCAGGGATTTTTGACTCTCGCCTACTGCCACAGCCTGGTGCCAGCACAGTGCCAGGCATGTTCACCCTGCAGCATTTACTGAGTGCCGTGCCCACTGCACACCAGGCCCTAGTCTTGGATGCTTTTGCAAATGTTTCTCCAGTGATTGAAGAACTAAAATTCTTTAAACTCAAAGGAACCGTTGTGTCTTCTGATTCCCCCGAGAGGTTTGAGGAGCTGGGCAGATGCAATGTCACTTTGCTGTCTCCCTCCACCCGGCTGCCCCTCTGACTTCATATATCAGCTTTCCCAACAGACGTGGGAAAGTGGGGTCATTCCCAGGAAAGGCAGAGCCTTCCAGGACTTAGGAACCCAGGTGTTTGCTCCACTGGGGCCAATTGCTCCTGACTTTTTCTGAGCTCCTAGGAGGAAATGCATCTGAAATGCTGTCACCCTCCCCTGATCATTAACAGAGCTGTTGAACTGGCGGAGTTGTCAGCGAGGCAACCACAGGCAGGCAGGCAGCCATCGCACCGGCTTTGCAGAGAGGGCTGGAGAGCTGATGCCCACGCCACGGGAAAGGGCCGGCGCCTCAGCCAAGAGTCTGACTGGAAAGTGTGTGTAAGGGACACCTGGAGGAAGCAGGGGCCTCCAGCACCTCCTCCACCAACTAGAACCCGTGGTGCTCTCCCGCCCGCCCTGGGGGCTCACTACCCTCCCTGCCCAGAGATACAGCAGGGCTGGAGGCTCACCAGGCTTTGTGATCCCAACACTCACGAGTGTTCTCCCAACAAATTGGAACTTTTCTTTCGTCTCATTTGAAAAAGTCTTTTGTGAGCTAGCAAGTGACCCCAAAGTAACCTCTCTATTCCTGTTGGAAGGGAAAATATTTCCAGATCAGAGAGACTGCAGCGCCAAGCCTTGGCCTATATGAATACTTGATTATGCCTCCTGAACGCAGTCTCCTGAGCATGTGCCAGTCAGTTTCAGAAATGATCCCTGGCTGGGTGTGGGGGCTCACGCCTGTAATCCTAGCACTTTGGAAGGTCAAGACGGGAGGATCACTTAGCTCAGGAGTTCAAGACCAGCCTGGGCAACATGGTGAGACTCTGTCTCTGAAAAAAAAAAAATTTTTTTTTTAATTAGCCAGTATGCTGGTGCACACCTGTAGTGCTAGCTACTTGGGACACTGAGGTGGGAAAATCACTTGGGGTGGGAGGATTGGTTAAGTCTGGGAGGTCAAGGCTGCAGTGAGCCGTGATCCACTGCACTCCAGCCTGGGTGACAGTGAGGCCCTGTCTCAAAACAAACAAACATACAAACCAACCCCTTAAGCAAAGTAACTGTCAATCAAGAGGTTTATTATTTGCCCCATTGAGTATTTTAAGACCGAAGCTTCACATTTTCAAGGGTGTGATGTCATGAAATTCCCACGTATGACCACATTTTGAAAAACAGTCGTCGTGTATGTTTTGGAAGGTGAGAGGGTTAGCCTATAATGTGGAAGATAAACTCCTAAAGTGGAAGTTTGAGATGCACAGGCAGAATGGGTCACCAAGCTATAGCATTTGCTACGGTGAACTCATGTGACTGCCCCAGAATTATCTGGAAGTTCAATGTTCATCTTCTGAAAAGAACTGGGACCTCGCTGTGCCAGCTGCTGTTGTTCTAAGTGCAATGTAAGCAGGTTTCTATTTAAAACCTTCACACCTGGCACTTGAGTAGTGCTTGTTTTCCAAAGGGCACCCTCTTTCCCTCGGATTTTTTCCACCTTCTCCTTTTCTGGTTTAGTCCGGTTTATCTCAGCCTGCTGGCATGAAGAGAAGGACAGTTATAAAAGCCATTTATAAAAGGAGTAGGGAGGTAGTGGTCTTTTTGTCTTTGCTGCTGAAACGGCTTGGGTAGATACAAGATGGCCTGAGAAACAATGCTGGGAGTGAGGAGCATGGACTGGCCAGGGCGACAGGAGGAAAGCAGGTTTCCCTGTCTTCATGGTACACAGAAGGCAAAGGCAAGTGCTCAAGGCCATGTACCTTCCTAGACAATTTGGGTGAGGCCCTTGGACACTCCACTGGATCCCGGCATGCCCAATCAAAAACTCCAGATCTGAGCCAGGCGTGATGGTGGTGCCTGTAGTCCCAGCTACTCAGGAAGCTGAGGTAGGAGGACCACTTGAGCCCAGGAGTTTGAGGCCAGCTGGGCAACATAGCAAGATCCCATCAAATTCCAGATCTGTCACCATCAGTTGTCTCTAGGGAGAGGGGCTCAAGAAAGGAAGGAGAATTTAGAAGTGGGGTAAAGAAAGGCTAGAAACGGGGAAATAGGGGACACACAGCAAAAACAATTTAAGGAAGAGACCAAGACTAAGACGGGGATGTCAGGAAACGAGCCCATAGTTTTTTTCTTTTTAATCCTCTACATCCAAACACATCTTCATCACCTTAATTATAGACTGAGAAATGACAAGGCTAAAATAATCAAGGACTGGGAATTTAAGGTTGTAAAATGGGCTGGGCGTGGGGCCTCATGCCTGTAATCCCAGCACTTTGGGAGGCCGAGACAGGTGGATCACCTGAGGTCGGGAGTTCGAGACCAGCCTGGCCAACATGGTGAAACCCCTTCTCTACTCAAAATACGAAAATTAGCCAGGCATGGTGGCGTGTGCCTATAATCCCAGCTACTCAGGAGGCTGAGGTATGAGAATCACTTGAACCCAGGAGACAGAGGTTGCAGTAAGCCGAGATTGCGCCACTGCACTCCAGCCTGGGTGGCATATTGAGACTCTGTCTCAAAAAAAAAAAAAAATTGTAAAGCATCTCACTTCTGACCTTCAGAGGGTCCTCCCCTTCCTCTCCCTCCTCCTCCCTCTCTCTTCTTCACCTCATCCCCCACCTCCTTCTTCTCCCACTACCCCTCCTCCTTCCTTCACCCTGGGCACAACCCGTCTTGGAGGAGCAGGAACCGCTCTGAATGACACTGGCTGGGACAGCAGTGCCCTGGGGTCAGGTCTGAAGCAGTCAGGCCCGAACAAGGCAGCAGTTGTGCACAGGAGCTTTTCAAGGAGGCTTTGCAGATACAAGGACGTTGGACAGAGAGGAACAGAGAAATTCCAGAGATTTTTCACGTGCAAGCGGATATTTCCTTTGAGAGTTTCTAGACTAAATAATACTCCTTGTGTCTAAGGGGACGGTGTATACTGCTGACCTGGCAATGTTCTCTGCCTGCAGGATGAGCACAGGCAGGCCTCGCGGCTGCCTGGAGGGAGCTGTAAGCAAAGGAAGGTGAAGTGGCCTGAAGAAATGTCTGCACTGGAGACAGTTGGGGCTGTGCGCCTCTGCCTGACGCAACATCTTTTCAGACATGGAGGAAGGATCTGTTGGCAGATCTTTGGACTCAAATGGGCTGGACTTCTAAGAAAAGATATACCCAGGCCTCTCTATTCCACCAATTTTCATTCTTTCATACATACATACATATTTATTTATTTAAACAGACTTTATGTTTTAGGCAGTTTTAGTTCACAGCAAATTTGAGCAGAAAATGCAGAGGTGCCATAGACTTCCTTACCCAGCATACCCAGGGCCTCCTGCTCTGTCAACACCCTGCAGCCGATTCATCTTCAGTCGATGAAACGATATTCACACATCATTATCACCCAAAGTCCATCATCGACATTACAGACTCTTGGTGTCGTACATTCTGTGGGTTTTGACAAATGTACAGTGACGTGTACCTGCCATTGCGGTGTCATACAGAATAATTTCGGTGCCTGATAATCCTCCGTGCTCCGCCTGCTAACCCCTCCCTCCCCCAACCCCTGGTCCCCAAGGCTTTGCTTTTTCCAGAGTGTCACATAGTTGGAATGGTATGGAACATAGCCTTTTCAGAGTGGCTTCTTTCACTTAATAATATGCATTTACGTTTCCTCCATGTTTTTTAACGGCTTGATAG